ATAAAAATAGTGTTGGATTATAATCATAACATCTACTAGCTGACTGATCAAGATTGTTCAAGTATTGTAAAAAAATTTTTTTATATGTTTCACACTGTGTGTAAAATCAATTGTGAATATCAATGTTTCCTTCTGTTGGTTTTATGCACTTTGTTTATTTACAAAATCAATTTTCTTTTTGGGTTGTATTACCGACACAAATAAATAACGATAAGGAACAGGAGAAACCGTTGATGTTATACTAATGATTCTTCACCCAGTGTGCAACATATAAAAAAACATTTTACAATATCAGGTCATTCCGCTAGTACATGTTATGATTATAATCCCACACTATTTTATTATAATAAAAATGGTGTGAGATTATAATCATAACATGTACTAGTGGAATGATCTGATATTGTAAAATGATTTTTTTATATGTTGCACACCGGGTGAAGAATCATTAGTGTAACATCGACAGTTCCTTCTGTTCATAAAACTACAAATTTAGGATTATTAGAAGCTATAACCAGACTATTGCCCATTATATGTTCCCCAACATTTTTAATTAATGCGCCAAGACTGGTTTCAACCCTTTTTCTTCTTTTACACATGTTCTAAATTCAAGTCTGGCACAAATAAGTACTGTATATTACCGATTAGAAGCAACCTCTGAATAAAAGCAACCCCCTTGGTTTTAAATGCCAAAAATGATAAAAAAACAAAAAAACACTGGTTACCAAATATAAGCAACTCTAGTTTTCGAATACTGTTATATGAGATATATAAAGCCAATAAAATCATGCGATAATTATATATATACATTTGTGTGCATACGATGTTTATTTATTTTATGTGTCATTAATGATGCAAGTACAAAACTATTCGATATATATGTATTGAGACAGTTTTTGTTAAATCAGTCAACAATCGAACATGTGACAAGCCCAGTTACAGTTATATGTTTGATTGATCATTAGTTCAAACAAAAGTATAAGTCAATGTTCTTTAGTATGAGTATAAGATAATTAGGTAAGTATGAGATAATAATTAATCATAGTATATTAGTAAGTATAGGCAAACCTGACTTTTGTTCTGGTTATATTGATCCTTACCTGTGTTAGAGTAATGTTAATTTGTATAACCTATCTACCAAGACAGCAGTCATGAATAAGAAGGAATAGAGAGATCTGAAATACTTGTATAGTGAAAATCATAAATGTAACCTGTTGGAATAACAATTACATAAAATTTAAATGACCTGTAAGAATGACAGTCATAATATTAATGAATAGAATAAAATAAATAAAGAGTGTGCATTTTTGCATAATTCTAGATACACTATATAGGTTGCTCGATAGTAAAAAAGCAAAACCTACATGTGTTCTTTATAGTAATTTAGTTTAACAGAATAAAAGACAAAACAATAACTAATCAATCAAGTATTAGTATATAAAATTTGAATCCAATAAACTTTCAGAATGATATGGAGTATAACTCTACAAATAACCTCAGTCATTCTTTTTAGGTAATTTTAAACTGAGGTGTAAGACTGTATACTTTTCCTAATGCATTGATTTTGTCAATTATTATTACAATGTTTAGATTAAAAATTGTTATGTTTCTTCCAAGATTTATTGGATCCTTCATAAATGTCTTTAAGAATTTGATTGAGTTTTTATTTACTTAGATCATTAAAAAAAACTAATAGTATAAAAAACAAATATCTAAAAAAATATCAGGATGGAAACTTATATTTAATTATTATTAACTTATGTCTAAGTTTTATTAAATTGTTAAAAAAAACTTTTAACAATACATTTCTATTGATTTGTTGCAAAAATAAGAACTTCTTCATCATCTTTAACAAAAATATCCTGATTAGTATTATTATTTTCATCTTCACTAAAATCGATAATAATAATATTTTTACTTAAAACTTTATTATAACAAATTTCATTAGAATAAATTTTATTACAATGAATTTTATCAAAAGTTTGGTGAGTCCTATTATTAAAGATTTTATTATAATATATTTTATTATTTTCTAAACCATCTATAACATTAGAAATAGAACACTTGTAAAAAACATATTGAATAATCTTAGGACTAATTTCTGCTCATGAAGCAAGTACCTATTCATATACAGTATGTAGGTCTGTATATTTCAAGTTTTCTTTCTTGGTTTTTCCAGAACTACTACTTACCATCCATGCATGCCAATGGTAATAAAATGCTACTTTGAAAGGATGATTAATAGAAACATCAAGTGGTTGGTACACAAAGATTAAACTACTAGGAATAACAAAAAGATCAATATTATGTTTTTGACTTTGGTCTTAATAACATTAGTAAGATGTCCTCTAAATAAATCAAACACAAGAAGAGAATGCTTATTTTTTTGATCACTTGATTAGTCTCTATTATAATTATCAATCCAGGTCAACATACTCTGTTTATCTATCTAATCTTTTTTATAAAAAGAAACAATTATATAAGGATAAGATGAAGGCTTAGTTTTAGGCCATTTTTGACTCTTAAATATAATCATGAAAGAAAGCTTTTGGCCATTAGCAAAACATATTAAAACTACTATAAAATAATTATTTTTATTTTCAGTTGTACAAATCTGCACTGTTTTGGTACTAATTTCTTCGATCGAAAAATCACCAGCTATATTAATCCAAATAGAAGCTTTATCTATATTTACAATACTGCTTAAAAGGTAATTCTTTATATAGCACAATTGAATTGCATGTCATTAAAAATTAAGTAACTTTTCTTTAAAATCTGTTGATATTTTTTGTGCTATTTTTGTTTTTTAGTGTAGGATAAGTTTATGATATTTTAAAAAATTTATTAACCATCTAAAGGAAGTCTTGAAACTAGTTGTAAGCTGTCTTTTTACAAGTTCATAATTTTTTAAAGCAGTTTTAGAAACAATCTTTAACATCTTTAACTTGAAACTATTATAGATTACAGCAAGTATTGCATTATGTATTTTAACTATCTAGACATAAAGATAAGCTTTTTCTTCAAGAAAAAACTCATTTCTACCATCACCACCAAGATGACAGAACTTTTTGTAATCAATCTTATTTAATTGGTTCTTTAGTTTAATTACCCAACGACCAACTTAAGACTTGTTCAAACCAAACTTTGCAGTAGCCTTAGTATTACTTTTACAAAAGGCATATCAAATGACAATTATCTTTTCTTAAATAGTATAGAACTGACAAACTTTCTTTTTTATAGTTTCTTTTGTCATTTTTTAAAAAAAATAATAAGAAATTTTTTTTATTTTTTTTTTATTTGAATTTTTATATAAATGTCTAAAATGATACAAAAAGAACTTGCTTTAAATAAGACAAGTATATATTCAAAAATCTTTCATTCTTCATTATATATTTACTAACATGCTTTTACCTGCTAAATACAACTAGAAAAATCTAAAATTTTACAAGTATTTCCTATTACAAAATTATAGCAGTAACAGTACCTAATTCAAAATGAATTTTCTTGCCTGTAATTAGTTATAGATTAAATTATTTATGTTGAATTCAATTGTAATAGATATAATCTCTTATCAGTTTTAATATATACATAATATTAATGATCTCTGCTATATCTTAGAATATGATAACAAACATTTAATTTTTTTTTTTATAGTAAATGACTCAGTATTAGTATAGGTCTTATTAATCTTCATACATATAAATATTCATGTACAAATTTTAATAATAATAGTTTGTTTTATAATATTTGATACAATAATTTTGTATCAGTCTTTATCTTTATATTTAAAAATCTATTAAAAAGTTAATTTTCAAAAAATAAAGATTATAAGCAATGTCTATAAAATATTTGAAACATAACAATAGTTTTTTTTTTGACTACATTAAAAATTTTTTATATATAATTAATAATCAATCAAAGTCATATCTTTGATTGACAGTTTTAAATTATATGATTAAAAGTACAATTTGTCTTTATACCTAAATAAAAGCAATCTTATCAATTTAATCTGCAAAAATCAAAAATTTTTTAGTTGCTTTTAATCAATAATATATAGTACTTATTTGTGTAAGTGATACAAATTTTTAAAAAAGGAAATTAGCCAATCAGTAAATTAAAAAGTAATTAGAAATGTCCCATCATTTGTAGACAGTTACATAATTGATAAAAGATATATTATATCGATATACAATACTTTTTTAGGAAGCTTACATAACTTATCCTGCTATAAAGTCTTCTAAGCAAACATGAAGTATTCGAATTATACTATAATATATTTATTTAATTTTAGTTAATTTTACAATGTTGTGTTGCTATGTTTTAGCAAAGTTAGCATGATTAAAGATCTATTTGATTGGTCAAAAATCAGATCTTTTTTAATTAGTAAATTAAAATTAAATTTTAATTGGCTCATAATGCAAATATATTTTTTTATTAATGTTAACAAAAGTACAGAAAATTTCAACAAGTATACCTCTTTCTTGACAACATTATAATGCATATACTTAAAGCATATATATATATTTTTTATGCATTTATTAAAAATTTGTATGAATACTTTTATATATATTTATTATAAAGATGTTCAATTATCAGTCATATGTACTATTAACATTAAGAGCTTTATACATTTTTGACTATAATTCTGATATACTGAACTAATTTGGATAAAACAACCATCATTGGATTCAGCTCACTGACAATTCTAACGAGCATATGATTATGTGATTTTAATTACAGAATCATGAGATCAGGATGATTTTGATAAAAACACTAATTCTAGTACATGTGACTTGATTCTGATTGGCTCAAATTACTGTACTGGAAATCCAGCATTTCATTTCTAGTAGATCTATCATGTCTATTAGATCTATCATTTTTACCAGATCTATTAGTTCTATCATATCTATTATTTTTATTATATCTACTATATATATTATATATATTATATCTATTATATTTATTATATCTATTAGTTCTTATTACTATAAATAGCATTTATTAGCAATAGAGTAAACTTTATTATAATTATTTATACATGTAAAATATCTATAAAAGCACTCCTTTCTGCCTCTTCAAGAAAGTTAAGTG